CTCCTCTCTCCTCTCCTCTCTCCTCTCCTCTCTGTGTTGACTTCCTGAAGTTCAGTCAAAGTTCCGTTTGGTAACGTTTCCCCGGCGTGTTGTTATCTTCCCAACAGGCTGCTGAGTTGGCAGAGTTCACTGCCAGAATCGCTCTGCTGGAGGAAGCCAAGAGGAGAAAAGAAGACGAAGCAACAGAGTGGCAGCACAAAGTAACAGAACCCGTTTATACGTATAGAAATAATAACTTAATGTTTGTGTGTGTGTGTGTGTGTGTGTGTCTGGGCTCATCATTCTATGCTTATATTTTTTTATGCAAAATCTAGAAATTATTATCAACAACTCTGGGTAGAAGTCTCATTATGTGGAAGAGAAAAAGACCCAAAGCCTGGCTCAAAGCCCTCACTTCACAATAATCATAGTTAGATGTGTGTGTCCATATCGTCTGTATCAATGTCTGTAAACTGTCAGCTGGGTTTCTCTCTCTGAACGTGTGCATGAATGTTCTTCACAGGCTTTGTCAGCACAGGACGACCTGGAGAAGACCAGGGAGGAGCTGAAGACGGCCATGACGTCTCCGCCGGCGCCGGAGCAGGACGAGGAGGACGAGACGAGCGCCGAGGCGAGCGCAGAGCTGCTGCTCAGCGACGGAGTCGGCGACCGCAGCGAAGAGGAGCGCGTCACGGAGGCGCAGAAGAACGAGCGGGTCAAGAAGCAGCTGCAGGTAGATTACGTCATCGATTAGAGCTGGGCGACGATACGGTGTGATCGTTCATCGTCTTTCAATGGAAGCGATGGACACATCAGCTCGTCTGAATAGATATTAACAAGCACAAATAACTCAAATAACTCAAATATTTAGTTTTTACATCAGTTTATTTCTACTCGGTTCAATTCAATTAACAAACTAATATTTATTCACTTTTTTGTTATAATTTTTCTTGAAACTGTTATGTTCATTTTGCGTAACGTTATGGTTCGTTTTTAAGTTTTTAATTTAATAAAAACATATTTTATATATTTGTATTTATTTCACACAGAAGTATATAAAAAGAGTCTTTACCGTGTGTTTTTTACATTAAGACTATTCATTGAACCACCAGACGTCATGCTTAATATCGTGATACGTATCGTCAAGATGTGAAATGATCGATAGCAATTATACCATTGTATCGATACCAATCCCATTGTTGATTATCAGTATTGTTATGCTTTCACATGGTTACAGTCATCGATAGTGGTTATTTGCATAAAAACAATTCAAATGGTTAGAAAATAAATGATTTGCTTTGATGAAAAACAATTATTGTCATTCATAGTTGAAAGTATATATTTTAAGCAGCTTAGAGCTAATGTTAGGAAGTTAAACAGGTCATAATTCAGCTCTAATATCTATTTCATATTACTGTGAAATCTACTTCAAACAGCTGTTTTTATTCTCGCCAAAAACTACATTTTACATAATTACATTTGATGAATTTACCTTCTATAGTGATCATTTCTACAACACATCATGATACAACCTTATAAAACTGTACAGCACAAATACTGTTAATAAATATAAGTAGACAAAGAAGGAGACGTCTGTCTGAAAGTAGACGATTCAAACACACACCGAGACAATTAAAATGCATTTCGGGGGTTAAGTGCAGCATCAGGTGTTTTCAGTTACTCTGGTTGATTAGTACTCTCCTCAGGTTGAAGGCAGGCGGAGCTGTGATGGGAATTGAGGGGGTCACAAAGGTGTGATTAGTCCAGCTGTACCAGGTTCAACAGAAAGACGTCCACGCAGGCCTGAGATCAGTCAGATGAACTGGAAACACCTGTGAGGCTTCAGAGGCTTTAAAAGTGAGACAAACCAGCCGACACTAAAACGCTGCTCCAAAGGAAACGCGTCCACCAGAGCCCTGGCGTCCGTCAGTCTGACGTGACAGCCTTTCATGCAGAAGGAATTATTTGTAACCTTCTGTCAGAATGTTTCTTCATGCTTCACAAGCAAACCGCAAAGTGTCGAAACAGTTAGTGTCACATAGAGAAACCAAGGATGCAAACAGCTTCTAATATTAATCTAGTCTCCTTTGTGTTGACACAAATCAGAAGTTGTTGATTCTTTAGGATCTTAAAGGTGCAACGACTTAAAGGGGACATTTCATGCTCATCTTCAGGTCCATACTTGTATTTTGGGGTTCTTCTAGAACATGTTTACAAGCTTTAATGTGAAAAAAACCACATTATTTACCTCACACTGTCTCTCTGAATGTACCTGTATTCACCTTCTGTCTGAAACGCTCTGTTTCAGCGCCTGTCTCTTTAAGACTCCCGCCCGAAAAACGTTTTAGGATCTAAGAAGCCCTAAAAAAAACTGACTGGGTTTTCTTATCGCACAGTTTCTCCAGAAACCCAAATGTTTACATGCAAGTTAGTTTGTTATTAATGCACATTACTTGCTTAGACCATGAATCATTCAGTTTATCATCTTTCTGCTACACATACAGATGAAAACGCATCAATATTCTTCTGTCTTCTGTCTTCTGTCTCCTGTCTTCTGTCTTCTGTCCAGGCGTTGAGTTCGGAGCTAGCCGAGGCCCGAGACGACACCAAGAAGACCCAGAACGACATGCTGCATGCCGAGAACGTCCGAGTGGGCAGAGACAAGTACAAAACCCTTCGCCAGATCCGCCAGGGCAACACCAAGCAGCGCATCGACGAGTTTGAGTCCATGTGAGCCGGGAGAGACGGTTGGTCTCGTTGCCATGTCAACGCCTCACTTAAACCTCGTAAAGCCCAAAAACCCGCCGCCGCCACCAGCAGCTCCTGCTGTTCGTGTTTCTATCCGGGAGAACGAGCGGCTAATGGGCTTCGTAGCTTCAGCCTCGCCAAAGCTCTGCCTAGCAGCGGTTCGGCCAATCACACCGCTACCTGCTTTTAGAGCTCCGCCCCCTCCCCCCCCCAACCCCAACGAAGCACACGCCCTTCTAATTCCGAAGGAAAGATAGCAAGCGGCCTCTCCTGACATCGACCTGGGCAGTTTCTAACGCTCGCATGTACGATAATTAAACGACCGCTGGAATGATGCTTCTTACTCGACAGAATGAAACGGCCGTTTGTAGCTTGTTGATGTTGCCGGTACGCTTTAATATCTGTATCTTACTTTTACGTCTTATGTCATCAGTTGAACAATTTAAATAATTTGTTTTAAAAAGAAACAACAACAAAAAAAAGCCTTATTCGTCTTATTTCCTCCTCCAGTGTTACTGTTTGTGATTTTGTGTTTGGGAAAAGTGAGCTTGTTACGTTGACTTTGATCTGTTAATAATAACATCAGATAACTTCTATAATCTCGACTCGCTGTCAATGAAGACAATTATGGAAATTATAGAATTTATTCATTAAAGAAACTAAATCCGAAGTTCACAGCATTTATAAATGCCCCCCCCCCCTCAGGCAAACACCGTTAGCTGCAAGCCGCCGCCATGGAGGCAAAAGATATGCTCTGAATTATGTAATGACCACCTTTTGAATACAAAGATGTAAAATGAATGTTTGACCGGATACAAATAAATCTTCGCTTGAGAAACAAGCTGCTGATGTCGCAAGCGGCCTAAAAAAATCCACCAATACAAAAAATAAAGTAGATTGATCCATAGATGCATCATCACCAATTCATTTGTAGAATTATACATAGTTTGTTCTGTAGTTTTCATTTATTTGTGAATCTGTATTTGGTCAGAACATGTTTCTTAAAGAATTTGTGCAAAATCAAAGAAATATTAGTAGTTTGTCTACATCTGTAATGAAGCTGTTTATTTATCTACACAACATCAAACCACAGTTCATCCATCAGCGTCCTTCAGCAAAATAACATCGATCCAAAAAGCAGAACTCACGAGGAACACGTGGAAAGCTTGACTCTGGCTTTTATTGCTCACGTTTACATCACACACAGGAACAGTCAACACGTCTCATTCGGCCACAGTTTCACAGATTCTGCAGGTTTGTTTTCCCTGCTTTTGTTTTGGGTTTTTATTTCCTGGAGCTCAGTTGAGTTCAACACGCCTGCAGCACAAACGTCTGAAGAGACCCCACCCCAAAAGTCTAAATAAAAGAGGAAAAAGTTTTACAAAGACACAATTAATAACAAGCTAAAATTCATCAGTGGAAAAGCAGTCAGACAATTTTGTGTGAATCTCTCAAGTTTCTTTTCTTTTGTCTTTTGCTGAAATGGATCATTTGTTTAGAGCGGGCACATTCCGTACATAAAGGAGTCCCTTTGAAGCGATGCCTTTGTGCTACTTGAATTATCACAGTTGTACGTGACGGCTTTGGACAATCTTTTGGAATGAAACTCTTCGTCTTAAGCAGGACAAAGTGAAACAGCAGCAATGGTCAAACACTTTAATATTTTGGTTTCATGTGACCACCACTGACCTGAGCAAAAGGGGAAACATGTGAAAAGCAATAAAACAGCCTTTTTACTTGGCTTTGGTCCCTGAAGAGGCGGCACATTAGAAATAAAGGCGGGAATAAACCGTGACAGACGGGGTCGCTGTTGGCATTTTACATTTCTGTCTTATAGATTTAGACCATTTGAGGTCAAAAGAGCAACACACTACACAAACAGCAGAGTATCTGTCCAGACAAAACCCACACATGACTTCACAAAGGTGTGTTCAGACTAAATGTGAAGGTCGATCACATGACGTGATGCCGCAGGATGTGAGAAGAAGTTATGAACACGCAGCAAAACAGGAATATCAGTCAGCTCCTGTGAGTCAGTGTGGGACACAGACGGCAGCACGGCAGCGACCCTCATATGTTCTTAGATAAATAGCAAATGAACCGAAATAAATTGCCGTGAAGAAAATGTGATGTCACGGTGAGAAAGATGGAAAATCATTGTCGCAGTTTAAACAAAGTCACATAAATGGGACATTTCATCACTTCACCGTAGGACGATCACAGGTGTTCCTCATCAAATGAATGATCTCCTTTAAGCTGCCTTTGTTTCTTGGTCCCAGCCCACTGCTGCACCAAAATAACCACATATATGCAGTTTGTTATTCAAGTTGTTGACCACTTTCCCGTACAGTAGAGGAGCGGCTAGATAAAATGTTTTTTAAATATCTGTTACTTATTCAGTCTGTCTTTCAAACTCGGTGACGACTGGATCTGGAACGATGTGCCGGAGCCACGTGGACGGAGACTGGAAATGAGTGCGTCCACCCGTCTGTCATGTCTCGATCACTGCCAATAGCTGGAGCCGACTGTAACCTTTCCCACTGAAGACTAAAGCCGGATGTTAGTGGGGTTTTGCTCACTGATACATTTTAAACAATACTTGCTGGCTTCACTTGACACACAAACAACTGAATTTCCGCAGCTGAAGAACTTCACTTACTGAACGTACAGAGAGGACTAAACACGGATCAGAGGCTCGAGGAAAAATAACACTGCAACGGTGGTTAGTTTTTGCTCGGTGGAATCATATTCAGTCTGAACACTCAAGGAACATTTGGGGAGAAAACCACACACAACATTAGCGCAGTTAGCAAAGTGAACATCCCCTTATTCAGCAACACTGACGACAATCTCTTCCTGCAGGTAAACATGGACAAACAGCTCTTAACGAGTTCATGATAATAGAAACATAGTGTTTGCCCTTATACACTAAATAAGCTTTTTTTTATTATCCACAGGAATGTTAACACAACACCTTTTTAGAGGTCTGTTTAGATTAAACTGTAGACGAACGCTAGCACACGGTGCCAGCCAGAGAGAGAGAGGAACCAACTGACGGACAGGAAGTACCGAGGACTTGTTCCTGAGACCTTCCAGACTACAGCACAGCCCAGAGAAGAGAGCTCTTCAAGTCAGAGCGCTTCAAGACAAGAAGGAAGAAAGCGTGTTTGTTTGCCCTCTGGGAAAAGGCGTCGAAAAAGATTTGGAGGTGTGGCACAAATTTGAGATGCAAGCTCATTAAAACCTCATTACTGCACTTTTATTCCAGCAGTGTTCAGGAATACTGTTCCGAGGTTTGAAGCTAACAAGCTAACAATGTGTCTCTTTAGAAATGAGATGTCACCTTTTAGCCACACCTCTTAAATCTGAAGACCTTTAACATCATATCCGCTCCTCTACCAGGTTTGTGTGGCTACACAGCACCATGCTCTCAGGTTGTGTGGCTACACAGCACCATGCTCTCAGGTTGTGTGGCTACACAGCACCATGCTCTCAGTGCACTGACGGTATGAACTAGAACTGTTTCCAAAATGTCTCTTTCCTGCACTGAAAACATATATAAATATTGGGTAAGTACCAAAAAGGTGACAAAGTTTGCCACAAATACTCAAAATATTCAACTCGAAATATTTTCTTGTCTTTAAATATTCTCATATAAAACAATGATCTTGCTTATAAAAGTTTATAGGATACAATTTGTATCAACAAAGAGCGGCGTCATCTGGCTGCTGGATGTGAACCAGCAAGAGTTGGTTTGGATCTATGAACCCATAATCCTGTGAATAAGAATAACAAAGCGCTCTACATCAACACAACACAGAAACACAGCGAAGGAGAAATGCTGACACGCAATTAATGATAATAATCCCATTTGATCAAACTGTTCACTGTTTGGACATTTCATCGATTTAATGATGAATCGATTTATAACAATAATGGACAGATTCATTGAGAATGATGCTGATAATATTGCCGTCCTTGGACTGAAGTTATTAGCTCATTGATGTCTGAGGTAATCCTGGATGGTTATAACTTAATTTAGAAAGGTAATAACACTTTTATTTAGTTATTTTTCTTAAAATCGGAACCAATGAGTTTCATTTAACCGATGAGATTATTAATGCCTCTGAGAAAAGTTGTTCCCACGGTTGTCATGATGGAATAAGAACCTGGAAATCTTGATTTTAGGAACGTGTTTCCCAACTCTTGCCGGTGTGTTCCTGTCTCTTACTGCAGAGCTGTGGATCTAACCGAAGGGCACAAACCAGTTTCACCCTGTTTGAGCGGGGAACCCTCATCCTGGTGTCACCACGGACAAACAAGACCCTGTGTCTAATTCACACACGTAAAAAAGATTTAATAAATTAACACATATTCTTAATGATAAAATACCAACAATCTTCTTTTACACTCAAACATTCCTGGAGCTCTCTACAGCCACCTTCACATGATTTAGAATTATAAAATGTTTAAAGATGGAAAAGAACAGAAGGTGTGCCTAAAAAAATAATTCTGTACTGAAACCTGCTGAACGGTGAAGTCAGCTGAGCGGGTTATCCTAGCAGAGGAAATAAACACAGCTCGGGGTTTTCGAGTGGAGTTTTTGTTATTTTCTTTTGTGGGTGCCGCTTGAGTTTCACTTCCCTGTCGGGGAAATCCACCAAATCTGAACGGCCACCTGTCAGTTCAGAAAGAAACCATTGATCCGTTTGTTGAACTAAATTTAAGCCTTAAGTACGGTAGGAATATACCAGCAATGCATGAAGAACTTCACGTTTGAACATATATTCCTTTACCCCATGCTATCGTCTCAGTGACTGAAGAAACAGAAGTATTTCACTCAGATGGAAAGTAGGAATTAGAGTTGTATGTGTACCCTGATATGATTGCCAAAAAAAGAGAAAAAAACAGCTGTGGAAACACAGCAATAACAAAACAAAGTGCCAAAAACAGAATAATTTAAAAAAATATGCAAATAACTTAAAATATAACAAATAAATTAATTTAAAATGAACAACACTGTCACCTTTTTAAAATGCACTAAAAGCCTCCCGAAGCAAAACCGGTGTCTTGATTCAAAGCTTGAGCTCAATCATGCACATTAATCCCCAACCTTTCCTGATCTTAAGTGCTGTAATAGCAGGCATATTTATAGAATAAAATGGCAATTTGGGGATTTCCCTTTACAAAGATACCATTAAAATTAATGAGGCGACTTCCCTGCAATAAAATTAAGCAGTGCATTAACAGCTGTAGATATATGTGCTTTTGGTTTGCTTCTGCCCAACCTGACTTTACCAATCAAGACCATTGCAAGAATTAAACCTGCAGCCCAGTTTATGATGAAGCTGTAAGCTTCACCTTCTGGCCTTCGTTCAGGAACCGTGCTGCGATTTCTCCATCAGAATCACAGCCGCGAGCTCCTGAGCATCCACCACATGGGGGTTCCTGATCATTACCATCCTCACCAAATCAGGAGGGA